ACATGACCTGTAGCATTGTATCCTAATCGTAAAGCGCTATGAACTGTTACTCCTTGAGCTTGCAAAGCAGAAGAACCAGTGGGTGCCAAAACCAACACAGAATCTTTACCACAATACTCATGTATTAATTCAACAACAGCATTAAGCGTAGCTGTCTTTCCACTACCAGCCAAACCTTCACACAAAACTATTTGCGGTGTTGATACCTCATCATTCAGCCTACCATTAATTTTAAGGATTTGCTGTCTGACAACTGACAGAACTGACTTCTGATCAGCAGATAATTCAATATGATTAATAGTCCTCTCTTGCTGAAGAACTTTACTTTTCTTAGCATCTTGAATAGTATTACAAACAACAATACATTCTGATACCATTTCAGCTGAACGATTCCAACTGTGATTCTTATCAACAGTTCGATAACCAAGTTCAACTTGATGAGGTACATTACCTTTCACTTCACACACATACATCCAATCTTCTTTACTTTTCTTTACTTCTTCATCACTATCATCAGAAAGATCAGAAGACACTTTTTCATCTACATCAAAATAAGGTAAAAGTCTAACTGATAGCTGATACTTCACATAAATTTCAGCCCAACTTAAAGACATATCTTCTTCAAGATCAATATTCCTCCATGACACAAAAAGTAACACAACCTGCCTACAAACTTCTTCATCAAGATCAGATGACTTCAGCAACTTCTGTGACAACAATGGATAGATACGTACAATATTCTCACGTTTCTTTGGCTTATTAGTCTGATGGTTAAATTTTTTTGCATAATCGTACAGATTTAAATTATCTAATATTGATGGTCTCTTAGTGTAGCAAATCATAACATCATAAGTACCAAGATTAACATTCTCTTGCAAATCTTCTAAATTAGAATGAACAATCCAATCAGAACTACGCAGATTAAGGAATACAAAGCTCCTAGAACAAGAATACAACTTATGGCCACGCAGAACATGATGACATTCCTGAAAAGAAATATCTCTTTCAACAGTACACTTCACAAACATTTGCAATATAAGATGTTTACAGAATCATCGGCACCAGAAGAAGAATGAATAATATTCTTAAATAGTTCAGTTACAGCAGCAGACTGTCTCTCAGATTTAGATGAATACTTAGCACAATAATGCATACAACCACCTTTACTTAACAAAGCTGTAGCATCTCCATTACCTCTCCATGTTACTAAAGTACACAACATACACTTATTCAAATGAGGATGATTCCTAGGAGGCAAAAACTCAAAATAACCCTTCTTATTCTTAACAACAGATCCATGTTCTTGAAGTTCAAAAGGAAAACCATACCGACACTTCAAATCTTCAGATTTACCACTCTTTGTTTGACATTTTTTTGAACATACATGTTTCTGTAAACAATTCAAAAGAGCAGCTACATCTTGATCACAATCTGTTACCTCACTTAATTTCATACGACTAGGATGATTATCAGTCATAACATAATTAGTATCAGGTGTCACAGCTGTTATTAGCTTCTCAAAATATTCAATAATTTTTGAATTCAATTCATCATTAATAACTTTAACACCATCAACAGTAGGAGCATCTACCAACCATAATAAACCATGAACGTGGCCTACACCTCGAGTTTGCCATTCATATCTGTACCAATAATCATAAGCTGACAAGAAAGGAACAAGAAATTCTGAAATAAAAATTTCAGAAGAATAAAAAAAAAATCACTACATAATCCAGCATCTTCAATCAAAATCCTAGAACGATCACCTTCAGTCAATGTTGACACAGCTTCTTTATCTGCCAAAATAATTTCAAATAGAAAAGGCCAATGTCTGTCAGCAGCAGTCAAGGTAAAAAATAAACTAGGAACATTCAATTGTGAAACCATAGCCTGCAATTCCATAGATCGGGTGGACCAATATGCTCTACTTCCACGAATATTACTGGAATAAACCATGATATTTTTCGGAATTTTGGCACTATCACAAATCATTTCCTTAAATAACTCCACATTCATATTCTTCAAATTAGAATGTTTCTTAAGATAAACAGTACCTTTGTTCAATGCATCCCATCGCATAAGACTATTCAAAGCAAAATATGGAAATACTGGATGTCTCACAAACCTCTTATCGTGATAACTTAACAAATATCGAAAATAAACTCTAGCAGTCAAAGATTTAGTCTTATTTTCAACATAATCACCTTCACCATAAGGAAATAAACAAGGAAATGATTGACAAATATAGCCTACAGTGGTAAATTCATTGATAGGTTTGGATTCTACAGTAGGCCACTGCAGCTGATGCTCCAACTTCTCCAATGTACTAAAACAATCTCCATCAGGGAAACCGGAACGAGTAATGTCAGTATCATCAGAATCTACTTCTGCGCCAACAGAATCTACATCAATACCGGTCTTTGTACTAGAAACATAAGATTCTTCAGGTAAACTTAATATCCTTGACATATCAATTTCAATATCATGATAATACTTATTATTGGTCTTCAACCAATGCAAAGCTATTGATACAGAATTTCTCCTTATAAGAAAATCCTGATGAAAAGTATCAGTAGAACAGCAAACAGGAACTAAACCCTTCACAGTAGTAAGGGAATGAGGCAAAACCTTAGCAAACTCAAATACATCTTGCCGAAAATTGATAACATGACCAGAGTAAGCTCTTTGACCACTTTTCAGACGATAAATTGATACAACAGGATGAACTCGAGCAATAACCAATTGTTCAACAAAACTTAAATCAGCTAATTCATTAGGAACTACACCAATTTTCAACAAATTACTCTCTAACACAAATTTTTGATGATAACAATAACATCTTTCTTTAGACCAATAATAAGTCTTACAATTATCACAAACATCTATTTTGAGAAGATTTAATTTGGCTTCAAATAGAAGGAGAGGTTCTTTAACATCAAGATCAACCATATCTTGATCGAATTTCTTCTTATTCTTCAGAACATACTGACGATTGGATAATCTATGATCAACATCATCAGTACTATGAGAAGCAACATCATGTGATTTCTTAATCCTTTTCCTTTCCCGATCAACAGCTCTAGCTGCCTCTAACTCGTCCTTGTTCAATGCCTTCCTCTTTGCACGTTTCCTATCATTCTTAGAACGCTTGGATGCAGCTGATCTACCTTCCTCTCGATTTCTCTTTCTTCTAGACATTACCGCTGCAAAAAAAATCAGAAGTTATTGAACATGACCTTTTCGAAACAAAATGTTGCAAAAAATAAACATTCACTACATATAGGTAAATTATCAGTTGAAGAAAACTAAAATAAGTTCAAAATACGAACCTTAACAAAATTAAACAACTCGAGACATACATATGCATATGGCAATGTGCAATTCAGCCGAGAATTGAACTTCAATAAGAATATAGCAACATATGAACTGAAAATGAGAAGAATGTCATGGTTAAATTTAATAGAAAAGTAAGGTACCAAGCAAACTTAAAGTACCAACAATACAATATCGCTATAACTTCATAATACATACCTAGAAATGAATGAAGAACTAGTTTCACATTAAGAATATGAAAAAATAGATGACTCTAACTGATGACATTGCAGAGGCATAACAAAACACAACTCCGCATTCTAGAGAACAGACAAATAAACATTAGACTTCGCAGTTCAAACATGAAGATGAACAAGAAACAGTTATATGTACAAAAATAAAGAATAGACGGATCACATACCTCAATCATGGAAAAAAATGATAATCCACATGATGATGTGCTCATGTAAACTTCATAATACCTTTCTAAAAAGCAAAACAGATTGCAGAAGCTTATTTCAATGACATATTAAAGTAAATAAAAATGAAAATATCAAGGATATGATACCTGAAATTCGGAATTAAACAGCATAGGCTTATGCCTAAAATTGAGGTTTGTTGATTCAACAAACAGCAGATTAGCAACCATACCAACGATAGCAACGCAAGGAGTATCGTCAAAGTAAAATAAAGAATATTGACGATACACCTTGCGTAAGAAAAAAACATGGAGGTTAGTTACCAATCGCTTTCACAGATCCATGACGTCATACGCTTCAAATTATCGAACTGTAAAATGCAATGAAAATGCAATGTAGGGTAGTTTTCTCATTCAAACAGAATACTTGATATTTATCGCGTTTGCTGATTTTCATCCCATCACCTTTCAGTACGACAGACTCCCACATGATCACGATCACCAAAGGCACCAAGGCAGTGATTTCATTCCAAATGTCAAATCGATGTCGAGTCGATGAACAATCGATAGTGCGTAACGTAAATTTCTCATCTCTAATTTCTGTTATGTTTTCATATTGCTATTCAAAATGATGAAAAATTGTTAGGTTGCAGCTGAGTTCAAGTTGAAATACATAATTTGGAATTTGGTGGTGGCCAACAAAAAAAACGTTGTTGTCAGCTGCGAAAAATATCAGATGACAGCAAATAATCTTACTG